TGGATCGCGTATGGGCCAGAGAATTTCATTCGGCTGTCTTGCTCTTTTTGGCTCCAAACTCCAAATGTTGAAGAAGAAGGGGACAGAAGAAGCAAGAAAAAAAAAGAGAAGGAAAGAATTGAAAAAAAATAAAAATAAATGAAAGTGTAGAAAAGAGCTTGGATTGTTAAAAATTGTTAAACTAGTTAACACGATTTAACGCCCTCGTCCACTTGGTCTGAATAATTTACAACCCTTAAACCGTATAATTACACCTTTTTAGGTCATTGTCTCCCTTACCCAAGCATTTATGAAGGGTTGCTGTTGATGAAAATACTTCATTGAATCTACTTCATGAATGAGGAGTCCTCTGTTATGATGACTGGGTGTTCTACCTTCAAAATCAACTATGCTTGGCTCCGAAAGTCATCCCGCATTTCAATTGAGAGGCGGGCGATACGGTATTGTGAAAAAATGTGCAGGCCACCTAACGATCGGTTAATCTGACTGGTGAAGCAAGGGCTGGAGATGAAGGGAAATAACCGAGGAAAAGGCTCGACCACCACAAGTACAAAAACAAGAACGCCCATACCTCCAGCTCAACATGGTCGATGGTGATTTTTTCTTCTTTTCTTCCTTTTTGATTGTTTTGGGTTTGTTTTTGTTCGTTTTTGTTTTTTTCTGTCGTTTGTTTGTTTTTAGCTTGTTGCTTTTTTCGGCTTTTTTCCCTTCTATTTTTGCTTTTTTTTGGCAAGTGTTAACTGCGCTCGCAACTGCATAATAATGTCATAAGCTGTTAGATCTTACCTACATTAAGATCAGCGGTGTGGTTGAAATAAGGGGTAAGAAGGAGCCAATGAGTAGCAATAGAAAGGCTGCAGAAACAGTGAGTGGCCCAGAGGAGGGGGCAAAGGGGGTCGGGGTGGGGGCAGAAAGTGGAGACGAAGGCAGACGACAGAACATGGTTAGATGTGGAAAGGAGGTGAAAGGAGACCAATTTAGAAATGAAAATTTTCTGTCGCTACCAGGTTTCGAAACCGGGACCTATTGAAAGAGAGGAGAACATCGAACCTCCAGACCACGAGAGCACCCGATGGTGGTAGTTGTGTTACCGAGAGACAGAGAAAGAGAGCGACAAACACACACATACAAACACACACACACACACACACACACACACACACGCGCGCACACACAAAGCGAAAGAGAGAGAGACAAAGACAGACAGACAGTCAGACAGACACACACACACACACACACATACACACACACACACACACACACACACACACACACAGAGACAGAGACAGAGACAGAGAGAGGGAGAGAGAGAGAGAGAGAGAGAGAGAGAGAGAGAGAGAGAGAGAGAGAGAGAGAGAGAGAGAGAGAGAAAGAGAGAAAGCAGCGGAGAATAGGCAGGAGAGACGGAGAGTTCACACGTAATAATAAAAGGAATACTTGGGTAAAGGCTCCAGGTTCCATAACACTTTGTAAATTATTCTCCCAAAAGCCATTTCCTCAGTCATTTCCCTTCATCTCCAGCCCTTGCTCCACGAGTCTCATTGACCGATCGTTTGGCCTAAAAGTTTCTTTTTCTATAACATCACATCACCTCACAAGCAAAATTTGAAAAAACTTAAAAGAAACAAAACACAGTTAATTTTGAAGGTAGAACACTCAGTCACAATACTAGAGAAGTCATCTTTTATGAAGTAAGTAACAGCAACCCGAAATAACTGCTGGGGTAAGGGAAACAATTTCCTTAAAAAGTCTTGTTAACACAACAATTAACAGGAAAACAGAAAAGCTGCTTTAATAAGTGAAAGAGAAATCTAGCAAAACTTATAAATGTCGAAATATTAGGACATGTTTCAAACCTTATTAAGCCCTTAGAAAACACATTTTTCAAAATGAACAAAACGACACATAGAAATATTCTAAGCAAAACCATAAAATAATATAATTGTTAGTACACCGACTATATAAACGAATTGAAATATTTTGTTAAATGTATAAAGGCATGTAAGATGGTCCCTTGTTACTTCACTTCACGTCTTGTGCTCGCCACTATGGCGGCATTATGCTACTTCATTAAATTGCGAGATAGATGATAACTTAAAAATCTTTTAAAAAACTAGACTTGATGGCCACATGTAGTATTGAATAATAAGACCCAAAGAATGTGACTTGTTTATAACTAGATCTATAATATACGTAGCGAATAATGCCAGGGTTGAATGGTGACACCCAGGAATTGTCTAATACTGAATACATGTAAACTAATTATCAAATAATAAGACCGCATGTGTGTGGTATCGAATCTTTGATCTTAAACAGTGATAACTATAATAATAATGAAATTAATAATAATATTAAAATTAAGGAGGTGTCGTGGTTTTAATGAAGGGAAATTGAATAATGACAAACCAAAGCGGATGTCGAATTATAATCAGGCAAAGAAGTTTAACGATAGCTAGTGAGACCGAATGACTATTCAAATGTGCTATCAAAGACTGACTAAAGATGTTAATTAATAGCCTGAACGGAGGTATCGAGTAATGTGAGCACATGACAGATAGGAATGTATCAAATAGTGGTCTGGCAAGATATCGATGTCCTACCCAGTACATAAAACATAGCGATCACGCCCAAACCCCATCTGTACTATATCGGGAGATACAGGAGGGACTGGTCATGTAGGTATCGAAAATTGACAACCAGTGATTAACAGGCAAGGGTTAGGGTATGGGTCTGGGTATGGGTCAGGTTTAGGATATGGGTTAAGGTTAAGGATATGGGTTAAGGTTAAGGATTTGGGTTAGGGTTAGGGTATGGGTTAGGGTTAGGGTATGGGTTAGGGTTAGGGTATGGGTTAGGGTTAGGGTATGGGTTAGGGT